TGTCTGAGCACAGACACTGCCCTCAAGTTGAGCTGTAGTTTGTCTGAGCACAGACACTCCCCTCAAGTTGAGCTGTGGTTTGTGTCTGAGCTCACACACTCCCCTCAAGCTGAGCTGCAGTTTCTGACCTTTTGAGCCTTTTCCTTGGAGGAGATGGCAAAGACGTTCTGCAGTGCCAGGTGAATGCTGCCCTCTTGCAAGTGGTTAAATCCTGAGGGTGCAAGTGTAGGTGTGGAATTGAAAGTTCACTCTCAGCGTGCCTGGGAGTGTCCTGGCCCTTTGGGATATGAGCTGTTGTCAGCTGATGGACAGGAGGCCCTAAAACTTGGATCAGCTTTTGTCACTGATGTGCTGCTGTGGGCATGTCCTTATTTATTTTTTTATATTAAATTTAAGACCTTAAAAGCTGTAGTTCTCATTACTGGCCCCTTTATTCCTGTTCTGCATGGCACATCTGCCCAGCTGCAATCCACATTTCTGGTTTCATGCTCCTGCAACCAGAGCAGGGAATGGAGAAAGGGCCCTCTTGGTGATGTGTCAGCATTCCATGAGGGAGCCTGAGCTGATGGCCCTGCCTGGGAGGAAGGATGGCTCTGTCTTGGTGCTGGCTCTGCTGGGGAATGTGCACATGGACAGGTTTGTGCAAACCTTTGAGCTGTGAGAGGACCCTGTAGGTGCAGTTGTTTACTGTGATAAAAATGAATGCTGAGGACTGGATATGAGAGAGCAGATGATCTGCATTTATGAGAGTAATTCATCACAACCAGGCTCTCTTGCTGCCAGGCAGGAAGCTGTAGTTGTTCAAATCCATCTCAGTTGAACTCCCATCCTCTCTTTGGAGGCTCTGAGTTTGTGCAGTGAGAAGTTTCCTGTGTCAGGTGAGTTGTGCTCTCCCTTTAGCCATCTTTCCTCTCATGGAATTCTGAACAGTATAAAATTAATCTGACACTTTATTTTATGCTGAGGTAACTTGTTGTCCTGCAGTAAATCCTTACCCACACAGGGAGTTGCTCTGGGGGTTTGTACCTGAGCTGTTCACATACAAGTTTGAGAGAAACTTGTGTATCTTCAGGGTCATATCACAGGCAGTTCTTCATCCTCAGAGTTACTTGGATTTGGAGTGGGCAGAAGGGTTTCCAGCACAGGGTTTGTGGGTGTCAGTGTTGTGTGGTCACCTCTCTGCACGTGGGGGATGGAACAGCAGGTCCTGCCTTGTGCAATGTAGACAATTTGAAACGTTTTAAGGCCCAGCTTTGATCTCTTCTGTGTTACCTCTTGTGTGATTCACTAGCACAGATGGTCATAATTCCTTGTTGTCCTGCCTTTTCTGGGCTGGCAGTGAGGCTGTGGAGGTGAGTGTATCTAATAAATGTCCACTCACATCTCTGCAGGTCATCTTAATTTAATTTTGCATCCATCTCTTGTTACCAGACTTGATGGAAATCAAGGCTGAGTTTTCTTTTACAGCTTTTTTTTTCCCCCACGTGCTGCAGGCTCATTGCATTTTGTAAAGTACTGTCAGAGGGCTTGGAGCAGGCCCTGCATCCTTGCAGTCACTTGGATCAGGCTGGTGGATTCAGGAGTTCAGGGGAACACCAAAACCTCTCTTCCTGCTTGAGTTGTAGCTATTCCATACTCTCCCTTAGAGAAGAGATGGAGTTTTAAAGAGCTGCTGAGGGTAAAGTTCCACAGCTTGGGGTGATGGTGCCTCCTGCACATGGAATCTGAGCACAGAAATTGCCCCAAGGTCAGGTAGTATTGGTAATACATTCAAATATATTAAATGCCAGCTGATACAACAGTAAATCCCACCCTTAGTGCACCAAATCCTATCATATGTGCTGATGGTTCTTGGTGGATTTAAGAACTAGGTAGACTTTTGAGTTTTACAGTTGGGCCACACTTTCCCTGTCCTCCAAAGTTGCTGCCCTGGATGTATTTATCAGATGAAAGTGAACTCTAATGGGTGTGTTTGTGGCCTGTAAGATGTTATTAATCACAGGGACACCAGTTCTTGCTGCAGATTATCTCCCCCAGCTGGGAGATTGATCTGTCTCTCTAGTTATCACAATCAAGACTCATTCCCAGGGAATGGAATGACTTTATTAACCTTCACATTTATAAACTTCAGGCGTGAGTAACAGCAATAATAATACCCTAATTCCTTCTTTGTGATGGGCTGGGAAGTAATCAAATGGGCATGTTTTGTTGACACAATTTTGAGATTAATGCTGGTTTGTTCTGAAACAAAAAGGTTAATGATGCTGACAGTCTCATTTGCAGTATAGATAGAGAGGGGGGTGTACTTAGGAGTTTTTAGGAGCCAAAATCTCCCCCCAGCGTGTGTTCAAGGAGTTTCTATGTCCATTTGCCCCAGGAGAGCTTTCCTGATCCCCTTTGGCACTGTTCCCTAAAAAGTCAGCCATGTCCCACCACTGTGACTGTAAATCCCACCTCTTCCAATGCTCCCTAAGAGCCCTTGGAGTGGGTGGCAGCTGTGGAAGACCAAATGTGGGGTGAAGGAACTCCTGCTGAAGCTGCCTGGGGTGTGGTTGGAAGGGGGCAGTGGGCATTAAGGGATTTAAGGCACAAGGTTTACAGACCAACTTGGTGCTGCAGGTAGAAACTTTTTAGAGTGTGAAAGAGTCATTAGCCACATTTTAACCAAATGGAACAGAGTTTGGGTGCTTCGCTGTCAGTTCAAATGGATGTGCACATTTAGAGCCTCTCCAAAAACTTTCAATGGGTGGAAGATTCCTTTATGAAAAGTGAGCCCTTCTCTGCAGCAGCTCAGTCTCTGGATTTTGACCTGTGCTACTCTGGCTCAGAATTCAGTTTACATTTTAAAATAAGCTTTAAAAAAACCAGAATTTAACTTCTTAGGGACCACTTCCAGCATGAAATCTGGATATGTCCCAGGGACACTTCACCTTCCTCTGTTCAAATCTTTATTCTCTGGCTATTGGAAAGATTTGTAATTCCTAAACAACATTACAAGGGATCTTGAGGTTTGCTTTTTCTGAGTAAGGCTTGTGAGTGCCCAAGGGGAAAAAAAAGAAGGGAAAAAAGCCCTAAAAATAACTTTAAAGGTAACCTCTGGCTGGATGTTCTGACTGTGGTGTGATAGTGGCTTTCTTTGTAAGGGGATTTGAGATCTCTGAATGAAAA